AAAGAAGTAACACTATTTGTTACAGAGTTGTTTTGGAAAGGGAGATGGGTAGCAAATAATGTTCATAAAGTAATAAATACTTTGGTGTATGGAAAGTCAACCTTGAGCCTGGTGAAATTTAAACTGCCAAATTGCAGGCAGCCGGCACTACTGTACTTAGCAGAAGTAGCTTGCAATACTGCACTCTAACCACTGCATCAGTGTGGTTCATAGTGAAAAGGTTGTTTTTCATACACCAAAGTATTTATTACTTTATGAAAATTATTTGCTACCTATCTCCCTTTCCAAAACAACTCTGTAACAAATAGTGTTACTTCTTTATAATTAGAGCAACTCTAATACATAGCAGTGTAAAGGAATTTCAATAGTGCTACTTCTAGGACTGTATTAGAGTTTTGCTTTAATTCATTGTGAGATAATAAATAGTGTTCACTTAGAAGGATATGTTTCTCATTTTTTTCATATTATTTTTATCTGGATAACTAAGTACGCTAAAGACTACTTTTCAACAAGCAGTCGATTTAATACTTAATAATATATATTAATAATATATATTATTAAAAATATATATGTGAGCCATTTATCTTTCAAAATATCATTGACATTTTTGTTTAGCTTTTGCTAGTTAATAATTCAGTATGCAACCTGAAATAATTTCTAATCCAATATAAGAGGTGTTTGCTTCATTATTTTTGTTACATAGATGTCATTGGGGGGTGGGGAGGGTAAAATTCTTGACTGCTTTTCTAACTTTCTCCTCCCTGTAAGGAGTTTTTATTTAAAAAAACCTATTTTGGGAACAATCTAACATTCTCCTTGTTGATATATCAACTGAAACAACAAGTTTTAAAATGTAAGAGGTTTATTTTCCTTTCATCAAGCATTTTCTACATACAGAACATTCACATATGTAGGATAGATCAGAAAAAATGTAGAAGAGATGAACTACTGTAAATCATAGAGTAACAGGCAGTTCACAGTCTTTTATTTTGTAGTAATTACTGTTATTATCACAATGGGGAAAATTGCTAAAAAGATTCAGAAGTCAGAAATTTAAAGTCATTTTTGTTGTTCAGTTAAGTCTATCTGCCAGTTTCCTTAATCTAAAGAGAAGTCTACTGTTTCATAGCCCAGGATTTTAATGACACACAAGAAAATAGAAATGTCTAATTTCTAATTAGCCTTACCTATTAGAGTAAAATATTTGATTGCATTGAATAAAGTATCAGTTTAATCTTTTCAGGTACAGAAACCCAGTTTTTAAAATGATAACAATAGTAAATCCCATCTATGTATTTCTTGAAAATCCGAAGAAAATAAAATACTAATAAGCACGATTATTTTCTCCTTTTGTAGTGGTTACAATAATTCTAAATTTTTGAACCTGAATTGTTTCTATGTAGACATATAAACAACATCCCTAAGTGGCAGTTTATAAACTAAAATAACCCAAATACCTTGAAATAGAAAGCTAATGGCAGTAATAAGTTAAAAAATTACTTTTAACAATAGTATTGACAAAAGGCATATATGATAGACATTGTACATATAACAGTGATACTATCTAGCAAGATGATGCAAATCATTTTTTTAATTGTGAATTTTATTTATTTCAGTGTACTGTACTTTCAGAAAGTAACTTGAAACATATAATCTTGTATAATCTTGTACACAACTAGGAATAAGAAAAATTGAACTTAATGTGATTTACTTTTCAGTAGATATAGTACCATTATTCTCCATTTTTAAAGACTTGGGTTCTTTTCCTATTTAGGAATTAATTATCCTGAATTCAGTGGAACTTACTTCTGAATAGACATATATAGGATTACTGTGTAAAGTGTATTATTAAGCAGATTGTTTTAAAATTAAAACATTAATTTTTTTGCCAATTTAAATAATTCTCAGTATTGATTTCAAAATAAACATTTTCTCCTAAGCAGCTAGATATTATGTTTCTGTTCAATAAAACTAAACTATACCAAGTTGATGTAACTGTTTTGTAGGTGGAAAAGTAAGAATTATAATATGAAATTAACAAAATTTTAACCTTAAATTGTAATAAAAATAACCATATCTTCAAGCTGTAGTAATAAAAATGATAGCACAAAATGTTGAAAATATACTTTTTCCTTTGAGTTAAAAGCATGCCTTAAAATCTGTGGAGATGAAAAATTTTGAGATATTAAAAAGTTTTCACAAGATAAAGAGAACTTATAACCACAAGAATACAATTACATGTTTTGTAGGCTTCACTTTCCTTATGAGACATTTCTGTTCAAGGCACAAAAATATCAAATAGTGGTCAGGACAGGGCATAGTGTTTTAATGCAAAAACCTAACTATGCACATCGTGTGTAATATTAGAAATTCAATGAATCTGATTAATTATTGTTATTGTTGCTGCTGCTGTAATAATGTGGCATCATTTTGTCATGTACCCTATGTATTTATCATAATATAATATTGTCACAAATTGGCCACTTTTCTTTATGGAGATTACCAACAGTACATATTTGTCACAGTTTCAGCATCATTTATTTCACCAAAATTCCATTTTAGTCAACCACACAACATGTACAGAAGGATCTAACATTTTTAATATAAAATAATGACAATTTGGAGAATGAAGATAAGTGCAATGTACTGTAAAACTATATCCACTTGGGTGTTATCTAATATGGTTCTTTACGCTTCTCCAACCCAAATTACTGTATTTCCTCTCTCAACTTCAGTGATTTCACAATTAAGCTTATTTAATCGTCCATCTAGAATAAACAAGGATTCCTTGGAAGGTGTCATCAGGTATTGACCAAAGAGCCCACTGCCTTCAATTAATCGGTTCTTATTGTTCCAAGACCATTCATCTGGTTTAAGAGGTTCCTTAAGATTCTTCACCATCTTCACCTTCCCAGAGGACAGTTCTACAAAAAGAACATCAGTCTGTGTACTAGAGCTACCAAAGACATTATATTGATGGGCTTCAGTAAATGATGGTTGGAAAGCCACATCAGATATGTGCAAGTTTGTGTGAATGTCAAAGGCATCTTGTATTTCTCCTCTTAGTGTAATTGTCTGGACCCTCATGAGACCTTTCACATCATCAATGCTGACTACGTAGTGACCATCTGGAGAAATGTATGGAGATCCTGTTACATCACCATTATATCCAATAACTGAGTCAGTAACACTATCTACTATTATTTGTGGTGGAATAGCTCCTGTAGTGTCAGGCTTACAGTTGACAAAATAATATCCTCCAAGATGTGTATATGCCAGAGACTTTGGAACACAGTTGTAATCTTTTAAACTAATTGTCTTGACGTATGACATTGTTTCAAGATCAATTTTCTGGAGTACAGGCTCATCCTTGTGGAGAATGAATCCAAATCTAGATGAAAGAAAAAACATTTTTTAAAAATTTATCTCCTATAGCAAATTAAAGATTTGTACAGGAAGCATGCATTCTTATGAGTCTATACATGGTTTAAAGATACATGATTTTTTTTTGCTCAGACCATATAGCAAATGAATGGTATTTGGATATATGAAATGAAAATGTTTAGAAAACAAAATCTGCCTATTTTATACCTGTATTGATCAAATTACACAAGCAAGTTCTACTTCAGGATTGTAGACTTTAAGAAATACAGAAACAGTTTGTGTGTTGTGGTTAAGGTTCTTGCTTAAAATCATTCTATGCCTCCTTTAAACATGAATGCCAGTTGGGTGACTTTGGATCACTAACTTTCTCTTACCTCACCCCACCTTACACAATTGTTGTGATGATGAAAAAGATAGGAGTATTAGTTTGTCCATGCACTAAGAGGAATGGGTGGATGATAGACAGACATATAATAGATAAAAAGTAATGCCACCTAAATATTACTAACTAATAAAACAAATTATAGCTTTTCTGCAATTAAAGTTTAATTCAAGGAGAATAAAATATATTTTTGAAAGTGTACTTTCAATATTAATTCAGGAATATGTTTACCATATAAATAGAGTGAAATGGTACAGTGTTTTAAAGACATATATTTCCAATGAGATTTGGTTTATTTTAAACAAAACAACTTGCATAAGTTAGGAGAAATAAACAGTCACAATGACTAATTTCCCACTTTTCTCATGACCGGGAAATGATAGTAATTATTATTATCTATCATTTATTCAATCCTCATTTAAATTCAGAGAAGTTAAATTCTATAAATATTTAGGATTATGTTTTCAACTGTTAATGCATCATGCTTTATGCTCCAAAAATATTTTTATACTTAAAAATTATTGATCCTGGAAATTAGATAAATGGCTTAGTGTAATATAGCACAGTATAGTAAGCCTGCTGTTAGTAAGAGAATCCTACTCTCCACTGTATAATATAATATATACTGACAGTTAATTGGGCATAAAGCATTATAAGCATCCATGTAAGACTTATAAAAAATGTCAAATGACAATTTTATTGATGTAGCTGAAATAATCATACAATCAAAGTGACAAAATCAGAAAATCATACTTGTACATCTCTAATAGAGAGAAGTTAAACTGGACATCAAAGAGCATTCAGAACACTATTTCAATAATTAGTTGATAATCATAGCTGCAACAAAAATTAAGCTGAATTGGAAAAGATGCCAGGTCATGAAGTATGAGTGTCAGGTTTAAGAACATCTGAGCAATATACTGATAATCACCCTATGAACCAGAACCAGAACCAGAACCAGAAGATTCTGGAATGGCTCTTAGTAAAGCACAGATTTTTGTGCATTCGTAGCCAGAGATGAAATCTGAGAATTCCTCTTAGAGAGAAGAAAGGAAGGTTAGATTTCCTAAAATTGATCATAACTAAGTGAATTGGAATGAAACAGGAACAAGTTATAAATACATTTTAAAATTTGATTGGATAGCTTTTGTTCTAAGAGTCAAGTCCACTGACATTTAAGGTTTTGATTTATGTCTTAGTCCTTTTATCTTTTTCCTGTTTTTCTTTGTATTTGAGTGATCTCAATACAAGTAATATAACAACTAATAATTATTTAAAACAAATTATTATACAATGCAATTTTATTTTCATTGCCCTTTTTAAAAAAAACTCTACACATTTTTAATCCTAGCCCTTTGATCCTCCAGACTGAATTTCTTTCTATTCGTTCCTTGTACATTTAGAAAATCTGATGAATAGTGTCAACATGTTATAACACAAAATAAAGACATGATTAAACTTGGATGTTATGCTAGAAAAGACTGTAAGCCCACATAGGGCTAGATATATTTTGAATGCTTGATTTTTATGTCATTTATTTGTATATTTGCTCTATGGAATTCTGATAATGGAAATATACAGAGATTTATTTACCGTATTTAGCGTATGGCAAATACATGGACTCACAGTAGTTCAAATGTCAATATCCAGTCCACCCAGCCATTCAAGGACAGGGTGGTCTATGGGGTTTGATGCTAGCTTGTCTCCTTGTGGTGCACCCTGGATAGCATGGAAGTGTGAACCAAACAACTAGCAACAATTGGCAGCCAGATTACATTGAAGAATGGGCAGTTAACAACATCTGCATACAGACATCTTTGTCAAACTCTTGGCTCTCTAGGTACATGGCAATGGATAAACATCAAGAGTTTACATTGACCCAATGTCTGATTTTTTTCAACATGTACAGGGAATTATTGAAGGTTGGAAGAGAAAGAGGATAAGATCAGCTTTCGTAAACTGATATTTCCAGTTACATGTGATTACAGATTCATCATGTTTAATTACAATTTACTATGATAACTGAACATGATGCATGTCTGAATGATTAGACAAACTTGAATTATATAATTAAATCCTACGGTAATTGAACAGCAATATTTTTTGAATTTTTCCATTCCAAAATGGATCACATGTGATTAATACCCATTTATTGCATTATTCAAGAAGGTTTGAGTATGTTAACACCAAGCAATCTCTTCTTCACATCTGAGACATTTCAAAGCAATGTAACCCATTAAACACAAATAAACACAATTAATTATATATTTTGTGTTTTGTTATTTTCTTAGTAAAATATGCTTTAAAATATACTGATGTGTATATTATTAAGGATAATATTAAATTATTATTATTAATTTTGTGGATGCAAAGAAATTTAGCATTTCCTCTTTTCTTTCAATTTTAAAGCTTTCATGTAGTGCTTTTTTTCTTTTATAGAAAATTGCTGAGAGTTAATGCATTATTTAAATTGTTTTGAAACAGATAATTTTCTAAAAAAAAAAAGATTTCTAACAATTAATAAATAAATAAGACAATAAAGATTTTTGGAACCATGTATACATTCTAACCCAGTAATGTTTAAAGTGATGATGTACTATATTGGAAACCAGCAAAATGTAAAAGTAGTTTAACTTTTTCAGAAAATGACTTTTTAATATTTGAGCTAGGATATTTGTGAGCCAATGTTTTTATTGCTGTCTGGCATTTGAAAACCTTGTAAAATGATATTGATTTGTACTGTTTCTTAGAAACCTATCTATAACCCAAAGGTGAACATAACTTGAACTCTTCATGGATCATTTTAAACATTTTAGTCTATGATTGAATTGGCAAATATTTCACTGTTCATCATGGTTAACAGTCTTCTATTGCAGTTACAGCAAGTGTTACTTAAATTATTATTTTTAAGAAGTCCGTGTATGCTTTGGCTAGAATTGTAATTGAAGGCTTTGCATTTTCAGAATCATTAATCTGGTACTTTTCATAGATATTTAATTTTTAAAGATTGCACAAATGTTTTTAATACTTATGATTATCTGTGATGCCTAATTCTGCTTGATAATTCAGTCTCTAGTAAAAGAACAAATGATATAACAGAATGTTTATACTTTTTGCTGTGATTTGTATATATTAATGGCATATTTAATACAAAACTCTATTTCATGAAACTATTTATCAGTGGCCACCTAAATTTATTAATCCATGACTAAAATTAGGCGACTTCTAATTCTCATGTCTTTTCTATACAATCATGTCATTCACAAAGCTTTTCATGGAATCACAAAAATATTTTTTATCATATTTGTTCATGATACAATAGTGAAATAAATATGTGGATTCAACTCAAATTATATTGTACTAAGGTAAAACAGGTGAAAATGGTATAGGCAATTAAATACATCAAAATATACCAAAAATGGCAAATGACATTTTTTTGGTTCACTATTGTGCTTGTTGAACTGTAAAAGTAACACTATTTTTAAGAATAATCTAGTGTAAGTATACAGTGTTTGTCCAGAAGATAGATTATGAACGTTATACATGACAATCCTTATGCTGTGATCCTCATCCTTAGAAACAAAGTTAAACAAAATATTGAATTAACCTGTTTCAGCTGGAAGTTTTCTTAGCAGAAACTAAAAATTAAGTCTAGGCTTGATTCTAAGAAACAAACTGAATGAAAAAAAAAAACAAATCATCTGCTTCAATCATGTCATTATCCTTTTGTTTTACTGATGTACACAAAGAGAAGGATGTATCTAAAGAAGAACGTCAGCAAAAGTAATGAATGGAATGTGTAGGAAAATATACTATATAAAGTTCATGTCAAAGTAGGAGAGAAAGAAATGGAAAGTAAATTGTTCAATTCAACTGACAAGCTGGATCTGTAAAGCAAGGCTTCACCTGGTAAGGTAGCAGAATTCAGAAAGTGAAGATTCTGTGCACTTATACAACTTCTAGATTGTAACAAAGGATACTATCTCATTCATTCAATTGCATATCTACTATCCAGTCATTTGCTGTTTTCAGGTCAGCCCAGCAGGCAAGATCTAAGCCCACGTGGACCAGATTCAGCCCGGAGGCCTTGAGTTTGACACCCCTGTCTTAACTACACTCAATTTGGGTGGGAGGCTGTCACAGCCGAAAATGCAGCTTGGGAACCCACAGAGCACTTGGGCCATCATAGGCATCCCCAACACGAGTGATATTGAACTGGCCATGGCCCCTGCCACACCACTCCCCAAG